GTATCAATTATGGACTAATACAATGGACTTACTTTCCTATTTTGATAAGATTCGTTTTGTCTGTTATGCTGCACTTATTCACGAACGCAGTCGTTCTCGACTTGCGACTAAACATCAGAATAAGTTGCAACATTTAATTTATAAAAAAAAAAAATTGGGTGTTCTGCTACTCCTGGTATTGGTCACATTGTTCTGAATCTTTCTTCATATCATTTGTCCGCTCTAGAACTATCGATCCTCTCGCATGGATTGGAATTTTTGTGTTCCTCCCTCGCATATTAAGCGAGAAGAAATTTATTCAGAGTTTGAGGTTTTCCTTGCTCAGCTTTCAGCTCAGTGTGGTACAATATAACTCTGCCTGTATTAAAGATTCGTTCTAATTCTCTGCTTTTATGCAGCGTTATTCGTCGATGGATAAATTTATGTGTTCCTACGACATTTCCAATCTACTTACCTGCGTTCCTCTTGCTGAGACTATTAATATATGTGCTGATGCCCTATATCGTAGTCAGTTGTCTCCTCCTGTTATTCCTGAGGACGTTTTCGTCGAATTGATGACATTTGCCACGATGTCGAATTTAGTTTCGACGGCGTCATGTATAGGCAAGTTCATGGTGTTTCGATGGGTTCCCCCTTGGGATCAATTTTAGCAAACATCTTTGTTGGATTCCACGAAGAGAGTGTGTTATTGAAACCTAATAAAGCTGACGTTTATTTCCCTTACGTTGATGACAGCTTTTGTTTCTTTGATAACGAGATTGAAGCGAACCATTTTCTTTCGTCCTTTAATAATATGCACCCAGCTTTAAAATTTACACGAGAAAAAGAAATTTATTTTTTCTTTTCCCTTTCTTGATGTTTTGTTTAGCAGATCTTCGTCGGGTTTTGTTACTTGTGTTTATCGTAAACCGACATTTACTGGTTTATATACCCGTTGGGACTCTTTTTGTCCCGTAAAACGTAAAATTAGTTTAATTAAAACCCTTTCCCCATAAGGCTTTAATAATCTGATCTAAGATTAAGTTGGATGATGAACTCAGGTTTATTACCACTACTCTCTGAAACAATGCCTATCCGTTGGGCATTGTTCAATCAATAATTATGAATAAAATTGACGAATTCAATAAAGTTAAACCTGCTATAGTACAAAGATGTCCTGTGTACCTGTGCCTTCCTTGGCTGGCTAATATCAGTGATAAATATGTTAGACAGGTTTCCGTATATATATATATATATATATATATATATATATATATATATATATAAGAAAATATACTGAAAAAAACAAACAGAATTCCTAATATGAACGATTATGCTGTTTTAATGTTTTAATGTCAACGTCGAACGTTTCGGTCTAATAGACCATCTTCAGAACATATTCATAAAACATAATTAACATAGACCATATACAATTCAATAAGAAAAGAAAAAACGATGGACATAAATGCAATAAAATCCAAACAGATATCTGTTTTGAAATTCTTTTATAAGATCATCTTTTCTATGTTGATTTGTATATGGTTATTTCTAATTATGTTTTTGAATATGATTTGAAGATGGACCGAAACGTCCGACGTTGACATTAAAACATTAAAACAGCATAATCGCATATTAGGATTTTTGTTTGTTTTTTCAGTATATTTTCTTCATACTCGGATATGTATATATATATATATATATATATATATATATATATATATATATATATATATATATATATATATATGTATTGCGTATAATTAGGCAGCAATTTTTCATTAATGAACGTTTCGTTAAATAACATAGACAAGTTTTGTTTTTTTATTTATGTAAGTACCTTTCATATTGTCTGATAAGCTTAATAACATTATCATTGAAAGAGGAATAGAAATCACCATATTGATACATGTTTAAATCCAATCTAAGCTTTCAGCTTACATAAGCCATTATCAAAGATGACAATTATTGTTTCGTCCGTGTATTGGTTGATATATTGAAAAGTAATTGTCATCTTTGGCTTATGTAAGCCTAAAGCTTAGATAGAATTAAAACATGTATCAATATGATTTCCTTTCCTCTTTCAATGATAATGTTATTAAACGTATTAGACAATATAAAAGGAACTTACTTAAAATAAATCGACAAAACTTGTCTATATTATTTAATGAAACATACATTAATATATATATATATTACATAGAATGTGTTGTGGATTCCGGGTTGAAATCCGGTACCAATAAATAACAAACGCCAAGAATTAATATAAGAAAATACTGTATTAACGTTATAATACAAACTGGTAAAGCAGGTTAGTAGTTCCAGGAATACAGGTTAGTAGCAAAATATATATATATACAGTCTTTGGTATTGAAGTATTGCTGTATGACTTCTTACTGAGTCTACGTGCTCGCTCACGGAGACTCCTACAACGCTGTTACCTCACCCTCACTCTTCCGGTTACCTACAACCTTTTACTCTGTCACTCTGGACTCGACTCTTCGGCTTTGCTCTCTCGGGTCTTCACGTAGCTGTAGTATATATATATATACTGGGTGAGTCCATTTGTGTAAAAAGGAAGAACCCCTCAACAGAATGGAAATACAAATTTACCTCATTCGGGTTATATATATATATATATATATATATATATATATATATATATATATATATATATATGAGGTTGTACATATCTAACTAGCTAGACAGACATCTATCTTAATCTGTTAATAATCCTCTTTCTGTTTGTCGATCTCTCTTTCTCTCTCTCTTTCCCTATCTAGCTATCTCAGGCTGTGCGTATCTATCTATGTCTGTTCGTATCTATCTATCTGTTTCAACCTGTTCTTATCTATCTGTTTATTCATCTGTCTCACTCTGTGCATATCTATCTATGAATGACATTTGATTATCTATCTACAAATTTATCTCACTCTGTTGATATCTATCTATATATGACACTTGATTATCTATCTATCTATCTATCTATCTTACTCTTGTCATATCTATCTATCTATCTTACTCTTGTCATATCTATCTATCTATCTTACTATTGTGATATCTATCTATCCATCTATCTATCTATCTTACTATTGTCATATCTATCTATCTTACTCTTGTCATATCTATCTATCTATGGCACTTGATAGGCACCCCGTGGCGGTGTAATGGTTAGCAAGCTTGTCTCGCTAGAACAATTACGATTGAGTAGTGAGTTCTATCCTCACTGGGTGCCCCATACTTTCGGCCTTGTGCCACATCTAAGCTACGATTGGAAAATCACTTGTGGATTTGGTTTTGTTGTGTATGTAGGAGTGAAAGGTGAAGGGTGAATTCTTTTGGTGGATGTGATATTTGTATTGAATGAATGGGTCGTAAATCGGGTTAGCTAGGTATAGGATAGGTAAGGATGATTAACCTCACTCCCCTCTTTTGAGGCCATGTGCCACAATTATTGTACTTTACAATAATAAATAGAATCTATGACACTTGATTATCTAGCTATGTACAGATCTATTTCAATCTCTTCATATCTATCTATCTATCTATGCCCGTTCCTATCCATCTATCTATCGATCTATACCCGTTCCGATCTATCTATCTATCTATCTATCTATCTATCTATCTATCTATCTATGCCCGTTCCTATCTATCTATCTAGCTAGCTCGCTAGATAGCTAGCTAGCTAGCTATGCCCGTTCTTATCTATATATCTATCTATCTATCTATCTATCTCGATCTGTTCGTATCTATCTATCTCTGCCCGTTCCTATCTATCTATCTATCTATCTATCTATCTATCAGTCTATCTATCAGTCTGTTCCTATCTATCTATCTATCTATCTATCTATCTACCCCAGTCTGCTTCTATCTATCTATCTATCTATCTATCTATCTATCTATCTATCTATCTATCTATCAGTCTGCTCCTATCTATCTATCTATCTATCTATCTATCTATCTATCTATCTATCAGTCTGCTCCTATCTATCTATCTATCTATCTATCTATCTATAACTGTATCCGCATTATGAAAGACTACTCCAATCACCCTTTCATTCACTTTTCTTCATATCCCTGTCTGTCTATTCACGGCTACCGATCCAATAATCAATAATGTTATTTATCAATTTCCTTCCATTCATGTTTATCGACGAAACTTGATTGATGAGAGAAATGCTATGGACATTTTCTTTGGCAGCAATTCACAATGTTTGCCCCCATTTAAAGACTCTAGTAAATTTCCTTTCGGGTTGGGTAGGTGTTGGGGCGGGGGGGGTGGCTCTTCTTTCAACACGAGTTGACCCCCTACTTTGCAGTCAATTCTGCATTAAAGAATAAATCTGAATAGAATCCAACCATCAATTAGATTTAAGTTAGAAATATTGGGACTATATGACAAAATGGTTCTACATATTCCGCGTGCGTAGTAATACATCTTCATATTATTATCTAATTAAATCCTGATCGTTAATGACAGCAGCTACTAATTTCGTGTGAAATCTTTACTGGTGACAGAGCCTCCAAAGTTTGATTTGTTTTCAGAGCGTGATAAAGCTCAAATTTTTTTACAGGTACCCCTAATTTCTATTTATGAAAAGGTGTGCCAGACTTCATTGTTTACAGGACACGACGCGCTCTGTTGGTTGTAGTTATTTAAAACTACCTTTGTTACCGAAATGGTCTATCCTCCACCGGTTACAGAGCGTGGAAAGACTTTATTAATAATAGTTGGTTATAAGAAATAATATATAACCACTGGTTACAGGACGTAACCTAAGGTTAACAAAAGAATGTAAAAATCTCATTAGTTCCAGGCTATTACTGTTTTCGACTTTTCCAACATGTGCCTAATAAAAAAAGTTTTTTTTTCTTTTTTCACGCGATTAATACGAGCATTATGTATGTCCAGAGTGTTGCAGCAAAATCCGACACTTAACAAAAAGAAAACGAAATAGGCAATAAAAACAAAAGTTGTATAGTCAGATACCCGACAGTTTGACAACTAACTGACGTTTTTCTCTCTATCCTTTTCCAGGTTGAAATATGAACGCAGACCAGCGGTAGTAGCTTCTTTTTGGGTCGGTAAGAAGCCTGCGGAAGTGATGGCCTAGTTTGGGTTCGAGAAGACCATAGTCATGGACATTTGAAGGAAGTGGAAGGCATGTGAGAACAAGGACGAGTTTACTGCCAAACAAAAGGCCCACAACATTCGTTCTTTGTCCGTTAGGACCGACGAGTTCGTCGCTGCCGTCAAAGAAACAGTCGACAATAATGGAAGCCAGAGCTACGCTAAGATCGCCGCTAATATGGGCTGTCACAAGTCGACGATCTGCCGAACGAGCAAGAAGGACATTGGTTACACCTCCTACCGCAAGTCTCACCGCATGCTCATCATGAATGCCTCCAAGGGGTCGAGGAAGGTCAAGGCGGCGGCTCTGCTGAACGATCTCAAGCACAGGTCCGCCGGGGTGCTGAGGTTCTTCTCTAATGAAAAGAATTTCATCCAGAACCAGACGAGCAACAGGCGGAACGACAGGCGGATCTAAAAAGACATCGAGGAGGATCCTTTCGTGAAGCATACGAAGTTTTCCTCCTCCGTCATGGTCCTCAACGTCATCTCCAGCGAGTGGGAACGTCATGCCTCCGTTCTTCTTTCAAAAGGGCCTGAGAGTCACCGCTGAGATCTACCAGGAGGGGCTAAGGAGCGTGGTGAAGCCCTGGATGAACAATATCGCCGCCGGACGCCCTTACGTCTTCCAGTAGGACTCCTCCCCTGCACACAAGGCCGCCCTCCTCACCCGACTGCACCCCACTTGACTATTTCTTCTGGGGCGAAATCGAGGCCAAGACGAACAAGCACGCCCACAACACGCCGCTATGGACATGGTCGCCAAAGCGTGTAACTCATTTCGCGCCCGCCTTGAGATGGTCGTCGCCGCCGGCGGTGGTTACATTGAAAAATAATGTCGTATGGAACTCTAACTGTTGCTAAATAAACTGTCGGAGTTCTGCATATACAACTTTTGTTTTTATTGCCTATTTCGTTTACTTTTTGTTAAGTGTCGGATTTTACTGCAACACCCTGTATCTTATCCTACTCTAATTGTGCTTTACGAATGAGTAGTGAGTTCGATCCTCACCGGGTGCCCCATACTTTCGGCCTTATGCCACATCTAAGCTACGCTTGGAAAATCGCTACTGTAATTGTGATTACTCTGTCAATGCATCAGAAATAATGGACTATTCTATTTTGATCGGATGAAAAGTGGGGAAATGAGTCTACGTGGTTTCAACGAGAAAAAGAAAGAAAAGAAAAGGAAATAGAAGTATTTAACGTGTCCTGCCACATACCTCAGAAATAATGCACTATTCTGTTTTGATAAACAAAACACATATCAGAAACGCTACTTAGGTTCTGTGACGTAGGCCTCGACCTTCGTGATGGAAAGCGGCCGGATGGCATTACCATTTTCCCTTTTAAAATGGGGAAGTCGTTGATTTGGGTTGCGACCTGTGCGGATACATTTTCGGTCGGTAATTTGATCAGGTCCACGATTGAGCCAGGATCCGTCGCCCGGGACGCAGAGAAAAAAAATAGTTAAATATTCTTCTCTTGCTGATAGATTTTGTTTTTATTCCTGTGGCAGTGGAGACTTCAAGGGTTATTGGCCCTCGTTCGATGGCGTTCCTTCGGAGGATTGGCGCGATGGCGTCTTGATTAAAGGACGCGCCTAGTGAAACGGAGTGGCTCTTGCATCGTGTCTCGCTGGCCATGGTTCGAGGTAATGCTTTCTCCATCATTGCGGCTGGCAGACGATAGAAAAAAAATTGTTTATAGTTACTTTGTTCAAACTTTTTTTTCAGTAAATAAATTTCTCTATACTTCAAAAATGAAAGAACGAAAGCAAGAAAGAATTAGAGAAAGGGAAACTAGTGTTAAACGGCTCTTTCGGTAAAATAGAAAAAGTTGTAAATTTCAATTTTTTTAAATTTTTACACACTTTTCAAAATAACGACCAGCATTCATATTTTTAATTTTTATTGGAATATTTTGTTAAAATCGTTCAGCTCAAATTTTTAACGATGCGATAGGGAATTTTTACGGATATTTTATTGTCGTAAAATTCGCCATAAGCTTGCTCAGTTATTAGCTTAAGAATTAAAATTCGTCAGAATATTAAGATAGGAAAACCGCGAAAATTTTCACGGGTCTTTCTAGTTTATATAATTTGCATTCACACTGATATTCTCATTTTTGTCGTTATTATCACATTCGATTGATTTTAAAGATTGAATTGAGAGAATCTGATAATAAGTGAGATATATTAGTCACCTAGACACTGACAAACATCAGTTAAGGATTGAAATTTATTAGAGACTTGCTCTTACTATTCCTTCTAAAATTGGACAGAACTTTCATTACAGTTGGATCTCGATAAAATCGCCCAGTCTCCTGTGCTGCGATCAGGTTTATAGGTGTAGATAGGCTCTTCTATCGTTCGGCTCACACTCCTTCCGTGTTCATTGAACAGGAGTAGAGGATCATCTTTTGTTCCCTGCTTAGGATATAGTTTACCGGTTTTTTCTTCTTACATGGCCATAATGATTCAACTGTCTTCACTTTTTGGTGACAGGACTAATCAGTCGCCGCGACACGCCACTATGAGGGTACCGGTTTTGCAGTTCGCTAGCTGCTAGATCCGTAGTAAGGAGCCCGAAATCTTGGATAGCACTTAGAGAGGTTGCATTGATCAACAATCGTATAATATCGGGGTATTTCTAGTGCTATGATGTGCATGGGTAGGTGCCTGCGTAACACGGAAGCCACATTATGCTCTAGTCTCAGCCTTGTTCTGGGTTAGTTTCTATTGCTACTGACGGTAGATAGTGTTAATTACATGGGCTTTTTTCCCCTTTTTTCTTTCTCTTCTAAAAACAAACCTCGTCATGACAAATACAATGAAAAAGAAATACAAGAAAACCAATCACAAAAAAATCACATACATCCCTCAACCTTTCCTTTTCCAATGTTTGTTGTATCCGTTCCAACTTCTGCAGTTTAGAGTCTTTTACTCTTGGAACAGTCACCGGAAATCTTTACACTTTGTGAAATCAATTTAAATTCTTTCATCCCCACCAATGAATCCTCTGTTTCAGGATATCTTCCTTTTTGATGAAAACATTCCAGCATTCACATACATAGCCGTGGTCTTTACGTCCGGGATAATCTTCCAATGGCAACACGAGATTTAAACATTCTAATGTTACTGATGTTACCGGCATTCAAACTTTCAATTTTTCCATTGCTCAATCCCTTACTCATAGCATAGATTTCCCTACTCGTTACCCTGGCAAAACCGAGCAACAGGCTGGTCTACATGATTTATTTCTTACCTCCTCTCCTAACTCTTGCCGAGATTCGCAACACTGTCCTCTTGGAAACTCGGATCACTCTGTATTATCGATTGAGATTTCATTACAATCATCTATTACTGAGGAACCTCCTATTCATAAGACCTGTTTCCATTGCCAGTATGCTGATTGGGATTCACTCTGGGACTTTCTTCGAGACGTCCCTTGGAATGACATTTTAAACTCCATATTGAGAATTATGGCACGGGGGTTTCCTCTTGGGTCAAAGCCGGTATAGATGCTTTCATTCCTTGTCGGAAATACCAGGTGAAACCTCAATCTTCTCCATGTTCCATGCCAGCACGTTCTGCCGTTATGTCCCACGGAAACAACTATTTCCGGCTATAGCAGCGTGACACTTCTCATCATAATAGATGCGTATTCGTGGCTGTACGTAATAAATGTAAAGGTGAACTCGAAGAAGCTAAGGCTATATTTGCTGAGAGAATGAGGCGCCGTATTGCATCTAACAAGTTTCGCTCTCATGATTACTGGCGGTTGTGTAATAGTGTATTAAATAAGAGTTTTTTATTCCTCTTCTCTTCAATCAATTAAGATATTAACGTCTTTTGCTGATAAAGCTGAATGCTTCACCCGTAAATTCATCCTAAGCATGGATACTCTAGATGAGTCAAGAGTAGAGTTTAACTTCCCACTTAGAACTGAGTCTCTGTTGAGTGATATGCACCCTTTCTATGGTTTCTGTTATCTTACTTATTATAAAACGCAGATTGTGTGTGTGTGTGTGTGTCTGTACGTTTATATATTGGATCAGATTTCCTACAGTTTTCAACTGATTTCAACAAAACTTCACAGGACTACATAAAATTACCTCTGCGGTGGTCCTGACAGCGCCAAAAATTGGAAAAACATAATTGTTTTTGCACAAAATCAATTTGAAAACACGATTCTGTCGCCAGAATGAAAGGGGGACAACTCATATCGAGTTATACTTATAAAACGTGGGGTTGTGTGTGTGTGTGTTCGTTTATATATGGGATCAGATTTCCTACATTTTTCAATCGATTTCAACAAAACTTCACTTTTTTATGGCAGGTAGTGTTTCTTATTGTCTTGCACACTTTTTTTCTTTATTTTTACATTCAGAATACTTTAAAAATTCCATTTACAAGACAATTGTTTATAATAAAATTCTATTCAATTGGTAGACTCATAACGATTGAAAACAATGTTTTTGTTTGAGTTTTAGTTTGACCAATTCGTAAAAAAAAATAAAAAAACAAAGCAAAAAAAAACTAATTAAGACATGCGTGTCCGTCAACCTTAAACAATAATCTTTGTCAGTTTTATTTTTCAGTCTTTATGATGGTCGATACTTGATCTATCTCTTACTGTTACATCCCCGGGCAACGCCGGGCTCTACTGCTAGTCATCTCTAATCTTGATCTCCACAAAGTATGGAGACTTGATGGTGTCCCTATAATAGTCCTTAAGTAATGTGCTCCCAAATTGGCAATTGTCCTCTCTAAGCTGTTTAATAAATGCCTCGCTGTCTCTTGCTTTCTGGAAGTCATCATATGAAGTGTCTGGTCCTCCTAACTATAAACCTATTAGCCTTCTCCCTCTTTTTAGAATCATCACAAAGCCTTCTTTCAGACAAGCAATGTGACTTTTGTTTCTCTAAGTCAACTGCTTAGGTACTGACAATATTTGTCGAAAGAGTCTATCAAGCGCTAGATAAAAAAGGTGAATCTTGGTCTGCTGCTTCGGATATCTTGAAAGCTTTTGAAAGTGTTTCGCATACATGTCTTCTCCACAAGTTGAAAAGTTATGTTGTCTCTGGACAAATTTTTGAACTGATCCAGTCATTATTATCAAATCCTGAAAGGAAAATTATCCTCAATAGCCACTATTCTACATTTTTTCATACTAATGCAGGTGTCCCTTATTTAATGTTGAGTTTTAATTTTCTTGGGAGCATTAGAATCTTTTTTACAAAAATGTATTGCCGGTAATTTTTTTTTTTGGGGGGGGTAACAAAAATGTATTCCTGATGATATTTATTAAAAGAAAATGTATTGCTGTTATTTTTACTATAAAAAATGTATTTTTATACTTTCAAAGCTACAAAGGAAAGGAAGCTGTAGAGAGCCATGACTGCCACATGCTGAAAGGACACAGCACATAAAATGTTAACATCTGCTGATAAAGCAGAATGTTTTGCTCATAAATTCTCTTCAAACTCTATTCTTGACTCATCTAGAGT